TCAACTTGTGCCATGCCGGGGCCCCAATGACACTGCCATATAAAATCCAGATTGTCTCCTTTGAACTCAATGATGTGGCAGTGTAGACTCATATAATCCAGTTCAAGGCAGATTATCTGGAATCAGATACTGCACTTTATGGCAGTGTAAATCCAGCTACAGGTAACCGATATCGATGAGGATTGGAGGAGCTTGGAACCCCAGGTTTCGGCGGTGACCAGGGGAGCATCAATAGAAGCATAGTGTCTAGATCTAGGAAAGTAATGCTCCCCATGCTCTATTCCGCTTTGGTTAGACCACACCTGGAATATTATGTCCAATTCTAGGCATCACAATTGAAGAAATATATTGACAAGCTGGAATGTGTCCAGAGGAGGGCTACTAAAATGATCAAGGGTCTGGAGAACAAGCCCTATGAGGAGCGGCTTAAGGAGCTGGGCATGTTTAGCCTGAAGAAGAGAAGGCTGAGAGGAGATATGATGAGAGCCATGTATAAATATGTGAGAGGAAGCCACAGGGAGGAGGAGGGAGCAAGCTTGTTTTCTGCTTCCTTGCAGACTAGGACGCGGAGCAATGGCTTCAAACTACAAGAGAGGAGATTCCATCTGAACATGAGGAAGAACTTCCTGACTGTGAGAGCCGTTCAGCAGTGGAACTCTCTGTGTGGTGGAGGCTCCCTCTTTGGAAGCTTTTAAACAAAGGCTGAATGGCCATCTGTCAGGGGTGATTTGAATGCAATATTCCTGCTTCTTGGCGGGGGGTTGGACTGGATGGCCCATGAGGTCTCTTCCAACTCTTTGATTCTAACTCTCTGCCCCGGAGTGTGGTGGAGGCTCCTTCTTTGGAAGCTTTTGAACAGGGGCTGGATGGCCATCTGTCAGGGGTGATTTGAATGCAATATTCCTGCTTCTTGGCAGAATGGGGTTGGACTGGATGATGGCCTATGAGGTCTCTTCCAACTCTTTGATTCTAGGATTCTATGATTTCAGATGAATGCTCCGTATGGTTGGATATGCCGCCTTCTGCTCCTTGTGTGACATTAGGAACAGCAGTGGTGTCTTTGGCTCCTTCAAGGAGCTGACACCTGTCAATCATTTGCACGAATGGTTTACATTTCTGCTCCTTGGCCCTTTTCCTGGGTGCTGCACCTTCCTGGCACTCCAAAAGCCTTCTTCGATCCCTCCACAGGTCGGGTGACACCTTCCTTCCCGGAGGAGCCTGATTTAATGCACTCGGATCGCAGCGTGATTTAATACAGAGAGCCCTGTTGCTATTCATAGAACCGTTCCGCTTGATTGGGTTTTGGCTTTTTAATCTGCATTGTTGTCAGGATGCTTTAGAGCAAGGATGGGGGACATGCAGCCGGTGGGATACATGCGCGCCCCACAAAAAAAGCAATTTTGTGGCCTACTTTTCCCAGTTATTTGGGGGGAGAAAACCCTGTTCATAAATGCAGGATCCAGTGGTGATTTATGTAAGCAATTGCAACATTTTTCCAAAGTTGGAAGCAACTGCTAGTCACTTTCTCCTCTCCATCTAAAACAAACAGGAAAAAGGGGGAACGGGGGGGGGGGATAATTTCCTCCCACAATTGCCCCCAATTCCATTACACTATGTAACAAAATGTGAAAACTTTTCTGTTCTTTGTTTGAAAGTGTTATTTCCTGTTTAATCGTGCGACCCTTACTTTGAAAGTAGTTATTTTACTCCAGAAATTTTGCTTTTGTGCCTGCCACCAACTAGTTTGAATTAGTTGAGACTCTATGAGAGATTCATTGAAAAACTATATCAAAATGTGCCTCAGGATGTCCTCTTCATAGACACAAAGTTTGTGCAGTTTAATAAATTTCCCCTATGTTTTGTTTTTTTTTTTTGTGATAGAACCAATTAGGACAGTGTTTCTCAACCTGGGGGTCGGGACCCCTGGAGGGGTCGCGAAGGGGTGTCAGAGGGGTCGCCAAAGTATTTTCTGTTGGTCATGGGGGTCTCTGTGTGGGAAGTTTGGCCCAATTCTATCATTGTTGGGGTTCAGAACGCTCCTTGATTGTAGGTGAACTATAAATCCCAACAAGTACAACTCTCAAATCTCAAGGTCTATTTTCCCAAAACCCCACAAGTGTTCACATTTGGGCATATGGAGTATCCATGCCAAGTTTGGTCCAGATCCATCATTGTTGGGGTCTAGAGTGCTCTCTGGATGTAGGTGAACTTCAACTCCCAAACTCAAGGTCAATGCCCACCAAACCCTTCCAGTATTTTCTGTTGCTCATGGGAGTTCTGTGTGCCAACTTTGATTCAATTTTATTGTTGGTGGGGTTCAAATTGTTCTTTGTTTACAGGTTAACTATAAATCCCAGCAACTACAACTCCCAATTGGCAAAATCAATCCCCTCGCCAACCCCACCAGTATTCAAATTTGGGCATACTGGGTATTTGTGCCAAATTTGCTCCCGTGAATGAAAATACATCCTGCAGATCATTATTTACATGGTGATTCATAATGTTAGGTTATGGTTGGGGGTCACCACAACATAAGGAACTGTATTAAGGGGTCGCGGCATTAGGAAGGTTGAGAACCACTGAATTAGGAAATGACATTTATAACCCAAGAACTGAAATCATAGTGTTACATAGTGTTGTGGTTTGATTGACAGTCTTTGTAATGTGCAACAACTGGTTTCACATTTTAACATGTTATTTTCCACCTGAACAAGAATGGTCGATTTCTCCCATTGAATCCATAATTGATTTTTTAAATATTATTCAGAAATATCAAGAGTAAAATTTACCCAAAAACTTGTCGTTATATAGGAAATTGGGAAATGAATTTGAATTCTGTCAAAGGCTTTCATGGCTGGGATCACTGGGTTGTTGTAGGTTTTTTCGGGCTATATGGCCATGGTCTAGAGGCATTCTCTCCTGACGTTTCGCCTGCATCTATGGCAAGCATCCTCAGAGGTAAAATTACAACAGCATAACAACAGAGAGAAAACAAACAAGGACATCTACTCACCCCTCAATATAAGATTGCTCCAGGCTCTGCCAGGCCATCAAATGCTAATCAAGGTGGTCAGTTGAAACATTTACACCTAGCTCCAGCAGACAAGAGTCCTTTGTCCCATCCTGGTCATTCCACAGATATATAAACCCATTTTCCTACTTCCAACAGACCTCACAACCTCTGAGGATGCTTGCCATAGATGCAGGCGAAACGTCAGGAGAGAATGCCTCTAGACCATGGCCATATAGCCTGAAAAAACCCACAACAACCCAGAATTTGAATTCGCGCAAAATGATCCAGACTGTATGTTTTGATTAAACAAATCAGGGATAGAGTCAAGGTTCCACTGAAAATAAATGTTTTCTAAAAGTTTCCATGACCAAAAAACTCTGGGATCTGCTCTCCTATGGAGTATGGGAAGTACTTTTATCCCATTGGTATCCTGTCTCCAACTGGCCTCTGCTGGTTTTCCATTTGGCAACCCCAGCTGGGTACCATGGATCTGTAGACCCCAAATTGTGGGCAGATGCTAGTCACAAGGAGCCTTGTGCGTGCCATCTCCTGTTCATTTTAGCTTCCTAATGTCAAATGTGGCTACTGGATCCCACTGCTATGGTCCCTGAACCTCTAAATCCTTGCCTCCGTTTAAGATAAACTCTTGCAATTTTGAATTATTTTTAACCCCCAGACACCAAGAAAATCCCTTAATCCAAAAAACCCATTATTATTATTATTATTATTATTATTATTATTATTATTATTATGCAATCCATTTCAAAATTATGGCAAGAAGGATCATAGAAGAAGATAGAGTTATATGGGCTTAATGCAGGGGTCCTCCAAGGTCATTTATCCGGCCCTCGCTCAACATCAACCTAAGTCTGAACGACTAGAAAGCACACAACAACAACAGCAACAATCCTATCTCATCAGCCAAAAGCAGGCCCACACTTCCCATTGAATCGCAGGTGTATTATATTTATTTTTGTGCTTGTCGGTATTTGTTGGAGTTCAGCCTGTGATTGTGTTTCAGGATTAGGGTGCTTTGGGTGTAGGAAGTGATGCCAATGAATTTCAAGATGGCAATGGTTTGGTCAATGATACTAATGTAGAGAAGGACCAGGAGACCCCTGTGCAAAGTGTAGTTTCACATGAGAATGTCCCTGAAAGGTGTGGGGATGATAGTGTACTCCCTGAATTGTTACTAGAGAGTTCCCAGGATTTAAGGCTTGAAAACAACTGGGCACCTGGCCCAGCTGCAAAACTTAATGAGCAAATAGAGAGACGAGAGGAATTAGTCAAAACAGACAGACCGAACAGTGCCTTCGGTGTTCTGCCAGGCTCCAACAGAAAAAGATAAGGGGATCTCAAGTAAAGCGAAACCAATTCCTGAGTGTGTGGAATGTAACGAGGAGATAAAAGTTCCAAGTGTGGGAAATATAGTCAGATGAAGCATCGTTGGAATCAAGTGTAGTTCTCATCCTTGTTTTATGGAAGCCTTGCTTGGAAGATTCTTGTCTAAGTATTTCTTGTTTTATGGTTTGGATTCTTGGATTGTAAGAATGCTACTCATGCCTTGGGCTAATGTTTCCGGTTTTCCTGAATTATATTTAGAGAAGTGTAGACTTTGTTTTTATGGACTTTGCTGAACTTTACCCTAGACTATTTTTGCTCCTGCTTATCTTCTTACCTAATTGGATTTACCTATTTCTTTAAAGTGCTTTTTTACTTGCTGTTTTTTTAATTATCTTCAATAAAAGGATTGTTTTCCAATCAATGGTGTGGTGTTTACAGTCAGAGGGCATTTCCTGTCCTGGAGTGCAACGGTATTACTGAAATTAGGGTGCATCCTACAACTGAGGGCATCTTATAATTGAAGAAATACAGTAGCTGACCACTCTTGATCTAGGATCCTCCCAATTGGAGACACAACCCCATTGTAGGTCCCTTTCCCTGTTCACTAAAGATCTGGATCTTGTTTCCTCCCTTCCTTCTGCAGTGGCATAGGCCTAGCCCGGGCACACTTTGAGAAGCAGCCGCCCTCCAATCTCAGGAAGTCCAACTTCTTCCACTTCGTCCTGGCCATGTACGACCGGCATGGGCAACCGGTAGAGATCGAGAGGACGTCCTTCATTGACTTCGTGGAGAAGGACAGGGTGAGTAGCGCCAATAAAGCAAATGAAATAGAGGAAATTCCACGTAGGGCTACTTTATAAGCCTAAGGTATGGAATCTTGGAGTTCATAATGTGAGTCTAGGACTCTGTAGATCAGACATGGGCAAACTTTGGCCCTCCAGGTGTTTTGGACTTCAACTTCAACAGTAGGCTGTTAGCAATTGTGGGAGTTGAAGTCCAAAACACCTGGAGGGTCAAAATTTGCTCATGCCTGCTGTAGATCATTCTTCTTCTCTGGAGTCCAAATAGCTATCCGATGTTGGGGATGTTCAAGACGGAGATCCTGCACTTGATATCTCAGGAGATCCCTCCCATCTCTTGGATCTCTTGGATTCTTGTCAATACATTACGTTGGAAGGATGTCAAGATGATGGTGATAAAGTTCATGATCATAATGTTGGGGTAAAATATGAATTAAAGAATCAGCTGATTAGTTTGGGGCCTTTTCTACACTGCCATGTTAAAATCCAGATTATCTGCTTCAAACTGGATTTTATGGCAGAGTAGACTCATATAATCCAGTTCATAGCAGATAATGTGGATTAACTGCTTTGATAATCTGGATTATATGGCAGTGTAGAAGGGGCCTCAGTGAGCCTGACCAACTCCAGTTTGACAATAGCTGACATCTCCTCATGGCTTGCGTTGTTGATAATTTCTGCTAGGCTAGAAATATGATAACTGTAATATTATGTGTCCAGGACCAAAAATGAAATGCTATAGCTATATATACTGCCAAACCCTGAGAATATCATTTTAGGCTCCTTCTGCCCTGCTATAAAACCCAGCTAATCCACATTATCTGTTTTGAATTAGATTATATGTGTCTACACTGCCAGTTCAATCTGGATTTTATATGGCAGTGTAGATGGGGCCCTAACTAAACAACAAACAAGCTCTGGGTACATTCAGTGCTGCTCACATAGAGCTCAGATAAGGATATATGCATTAGATACTGCTGATTTGTTGTTGTCTGCACCACTCCATACAATACTGATACTTAGAATTAACTGTATCTCAACCAGGGCTGTGAGTAAGTTGGACCAAAAGCAGTTCTGTCTCCTTGCTTGGTTGCCTGTTTGCCTTCTTGCTCGGTTTCAGGGCTCGTCCAAGCTTTGTGTCTCATATGGAAGCAACTATATGACTGATATTTCCACATCCTACCCAACGACAACAGCAATACTAGTACTATTGCTAGGGCAATGTGTGTAGCCCACAACCATGACTGTCCCCTAGCATACAAGGCTTCAAGGGTTCCAGTTGTCATGGTTGTTCCCTTCTTTCCACTTTTCTCCAGGAGCAGGATGGAGAGAAAACCAACAACGGCATCCACTATCGGTTACAGCTGCTGTATAGTAATGGTACGTATGCTTCATCCTGGTACTAGATCAAATAGCAAAAATGGACGAGATTCTGTTTGATCTTGGGAGTTAAGTAGGGTCAGTCCTGGTTAGTACTTGGGTGGGAGACTGCCAATGGATCCGGTTGTTGGCTCTATTTCAGAAGAAGGGCTAAGAAAACCCCAGAAATCCATGGGGTGACAATAAGTCAACACAAAAACAAGACATACACACATGAACACAAGATTTGACCCTGGTCCTTTCCCTCAAAATGTCAGAAAGAAGAACCATCTCCAAGTAGCAAAGGACTACTAAGGAATACTGGGAAATGTAGAGTATTTCAAATAGGAACTGGGAAAATCAACTCTGATTATTTTTTCATAAAATAATTCCATTAGATTCATGGGATTGCAGTAAATCAACAGGCCATCTGAAGGCATATACACGTAAACATCAATGCACAGAGAATGGGAGATAAATCAGATGAACTTAATCTCTTAACACAGGAAGGCAAAGATGACTATTACATTGCCAAGGCCCTAAATGCCCTAAAGGCAGCAGATCTGATTTGGTCTTGGAGGCTAAGCAGGGTTGTCCCTGGTTAGTACTTGGACAGCATACCACCAAAGAATACCAAGTGCTATAGGCAATATTTCATTTAAAGGGAACCACCTCTGAGGATTCCTGTCTTAAGAAAACCCAGCGTAGTTTATGGGATCACCATAAGTCGACAAGTGATCTGAAGGCACATATATACACACACTATATTAAAATTGGATCAGAAGGAAAACCCTACATAGCTGTACTGAAAACACTTGGACAAACTTCACAGACATCCTGCTGTGGTAATTCCAGGTCCCTCCCCAGATCTCTGATGTGACCTCATGATGAAGTTATTTGCAATATTTAATTTATTCATCAACTGGAGGCTTCTCAGTCTTTCTTTTGGTAGGGATGGAGGATGAGGGAAGCAATGCCAGATAAAGCAGTGTAAAACCAGTGTATGTCTATAGTGCAGATATCCCCAACAGATTAAGTTTACATGCTATTTGTATTTGTTTACATGCTGTCATCCTTACACCATGTATTTTAATATATGTATTTTATGGTGGTAGTGTTTAAATGTATGTGATCATGTGTTTTAACTACGTTGTGCCCCACCTCGAGCCATGAGAAGAGGTGGGTCACAAATAATAATAATAATAATAATAATAATAATAATAATAATAATAATAGTTATTATTATTATTACCACCATCATCATAATCTATTATTATTATTATTATTATTATTATTATTATTGCCACCATCATAATCTATTATTATTATTATTATTACCACCATCATCATAATCTATTATTATTATTATTACCACCATCATTATAATCTATTATTATTATTATTATTATTATTGCCACCATCATAATCTATTATTATTATTATTATTATTATTATTATTATTATTATTACCACCATCATCATAATCTATTATTATTATTATTATTATTATTATTATTATTATTATTATTATTATTATTATTATTATTATTACGAGAGATAGGGCCTTCTCAGTGGTGGCTCCCTGGCTGTGGAACCCCCTTCCCACAGACATTAGATTAGCACCATCTCTAATGGTATTCCGCAAAAAAGTAAAGACCTGGTTATTTGGGCAAGCGTTCGAATAATTAGTGCGATGATTGGTAATGACATAGGAATGGAACAATGGATGACGAATCTGGATCATGTTTTTTAGTGATGAGACGCTAATGAATGGTTACTATAGTAATTGTGTATTAACTGTGTATTAGATTAGGATATTAACTGTTTTATATTGGTGCATTGAATTTTGCTGTGTCTTGTGAACCGCTGTGAGTTGCCTCCGGGCTGAGAACAGCGGTATAGAAGTAAAGTAAAGTAAAGTAAATAAATAAATAAATATTATTATTATTATTATTACCACCATCATCATAATCTATTATTATTATTATTATTATTATTATTATTATTATTATTATTACCACCACCATCACCAACAACAGCAGAGAAAGGGGTGCTTATTGGTAGACCCCCTTCTGTTCTTGCAGTCTCTTCTTCTGTCTTGGACATGTAGGGAGTTGTAGTTCTCCAAAGAGCAACTCCCCCAAGTTTGTTGCTTTTGCAATTCAAAACATCTCTGTGTTCCTTCCCCTTTTTTGTTTCTCCGCAGGGCTTCGGACGGAGCAAGACCTTTATGTCCGGCTGATTGATTCCATGTCCAAGCAGGTGATGCTGTCTGGTCCTTAGAGGGATGGGATGGGACGGGACGGGGAGCATTTTTGCTGGCTTGGTCAGACTGGGGAAGCAAGGAAGTATTTTCCCCAAAAGCTTTGGAGGCTACAATTGCTTGGTGATGACATACCTTTTCAGCTGCATCCAGAGCAGTAGCGGAGGCAATAGTAAATTCAGTAACGTTCAAATACTTAAATCCATGAATGCAATCCAATGGCAACTCTTTGAGGTTCCAGGCGGATTTTTTTGTCTTCTTAACCCTACTTGGAATTCCCTGGAGAGAAGTACTTATATATTGTAGAATGAATGCAGTTTGACAGCACTTTCATTGCCATGGCTCAGTGTTATGGGATCCTGGGAGCTGTAGTTTTGCAAGGTTTCCAGCCCTCTCTGTCAATGAGAGCTTAATGCCTCACCAAACTACAAATCCCAGGACTCCATAGTATTGAGCCATAGCAATTAAACTACTTTTGAGCTTAGTTGTGCCCCAGGTCTCCTCCCATTCAGGTATTAAACAGGCTTAGCTTCTGAAATGAGAAAACGTGCTTTTTCCTTGTCTGCCCTCCCCAAAATGTCTCTTCTGTTTGCTCTTTTCATGAGACTGTGGAAAAGTTACTTTTGAAGACAACAGCAAAGCTTGGAATGTATTGTCGAAGGCTTTCATGGCCGGAATCACTGGGTTGTTGTAGGTTTTTTTTGGGCTATATGGCCATGCTCTAGAGGCATTCTCTCCTGACGTTTTGCCTGCATCTATGGCAGGCATCCTCACTACCTCTGAGGATGCTTACCATAGATGCAGGCGAAATGTCAGGAGAGAATGCCTCTACACCATGGCCATATAGCCCAAAAAAAACCCCTACAACAACCCAGTAGTTTTTTTTTTGGAAGGATTTTGTGTCCCAGAATCCTGCAGCTAGCATGGGTACATCTATATTATAGAGTTCGAGCAGTTTGGTACCATTTTAACTGCTATCAAGTGTGTTCTGGTTTGGGGAGGCATCAGTATTCTTTGGCAGAGAAGGCTCAAGACTTTGTAAAACTACAGCACCCAGGATTCCATAGAATTGAGCCACAGCTATTAAAGTGTTGCCAAACTGCATTCATTCCACAGTGTAGATGCACCCTGAGCCTCCTGAAACTTAACTTTTCCCAACTCTGGTTTGGTTCGCTTCCAGCCTCATTCTCTGGAGAGAGAACCCCAAGAGAAGCAGCTCCTCTCTTACAAATAATAGGAAAATGCTTCATTAAGCTTCACCCTCATTAATCAACACCATTAAACAAGGAAGCGGGCTCTTTGTCAGAGGTGTTGTTGTGGATGACACGGGTGGCCTCTTCCATTTAGCACCAACTTAATACTTATGGTGTGTCTACACTGACTGTAGAAGTATTGAAGTTTGGAGTCACTTTAACTGCTAAGCTTCAATACTATTTATTATTTATCGTATCAGGCAACCGAACAGTTGTATTACATTTTTGACAGAATAAACAAACAAACATACAAAAGACACAGAGTTTGCAAGCTTGGTGGTTGATTAAATGTCCTTTGACCAGTATCTGGACACTTGGAGTGCCTCTGGTGTTGCCGCAAGAAGGTCCTCCATCGTGCATGTGGCAGGGCTCAGGTTGCATTGCAGCACGTGGTCAGTGGTTTCCTCCTCTCCACACTCGCATGTCGTGGATTCCACTTTGTAGCCCCATTTCTGAAGGTTGGCTCTGCATCTCGTGGTGCCAGAGCGCAGTCTGTTCAGCGCCTTCCAAGTCGCCCAGTCCTCTGTGTGCCCAGGGGGGAGTCTCTCATTTGGTATCAACCATTGGTTGAGGTTCTGGGTTTGAGCCTGCCACTTTTGGACTCTCACTTGCTGAGGTGTTCCAGCAAGTGTCTCTGTAGATCTTAGAAAACTATTTCTAGATTTAAGTCGTTGACGTGCTGGCTGATGCCCAAACAAGGGATGTGCTGGAGATGTCACGGCCTTGGTCCTTTCACTATTGGCTGCCACTTCCCGGCAGATGTCAGATGGTGCAATACCAGCTAAGCAGTGTAATTTCTCCAGTGTTGTAGGGCGCAGACAGCCCGTGATAATGCGGCATGTCTCATTAAGAGCCACATCCACTGTTTTAGCGTGGTGAGATGTGTTCCACACTGGGCATGTGTACTCAGCAGGAGAGTAGCATAGCGCAAGGGCAGATGTCTTCACTGTGTCTGGTTGTGATCCCCAGGTTGTGCCAGTAAGCTTTCGTATGATATTGTTCATAGCGCCCACTTTTTGCTTGATGTTCAGGCAGTGCTTCTTGTAGGTCGGAGCACGGTCCAGAGTGACTCCCAGGTATTTGGGTGCGCTGCAATTCTCCAGTGGGATTCCTTCCCAGGTCATCCTCAGAGCTCGGGATGCTTGTCTGTTCTTGAGATGAAAAGCCTCAATACTATGAAACCATTTAGTTATAGTTCTACAAGGTATTTCGCCTTCTCTGCCAAAGAATGCAAACTACACCTCCCAGGATTTCATAGCCCTGAGCCAAAACAGTCCAAGTGATGTCAAACTGCATTCATTCATAATTCTAATGAATTTCCATTTAACTTCTTGTTTAGGAAGAAGGCATCTCCCCTTTTTGAAAGTAGTTGAGGACTTGGTTTATAAATGTTGCACCTAACCTCAAATCTCCTCTTTCCTTCTTTTCTGTTTTCAGGCCATCATCTATGAAGGGCAAGACAAAAACCCAGAGATGTGCCGCGTGTTGTTGACACATGAGATCATGTGCAGGTGAGCCTTCTTCTCTTCCTCCTTTATCCTCTGTTACTGGTATTCATTGAGCCTCTTTGGAGCATCTCTGGAAAGATGTAGCAGACTGTGCCAAAAAGGAGCAAACAAGATGATCAGGGCAGCATGATGTGCCGAGATGTGGCGGCAAAAAAAGCCAAGGGATTTTGGCCTGCATCAAGAGGAGCATAGTGTCTAGATCTAGGGAAGTCATGCTACCCATATCCTGCTTTGGTTAGACCACACCTGGAATATTGTGTCCAATTCTGGGCACCACAATTCAAGAGAGATATTGACAAGCTGGAATGTGTCCAGAGGAGGGCGACTAAAATGATCAAGGGTCCGGAGAACAAGCCCTATGAGGAGCAGCTTAAGGAGCTGGGCATGTTTAGACTGAAGAAGAGAAGGCTGAGAGGAGACATGATAGCCATGTATAAATATGTGAGAGGAAGCCACAGGGAGGAGGAGGGAGCAAGCTTGTTGTCTGCTTCCTTGGAGACTAGGATACAGTGGAACAATGGCTTCAAACTACAAGAGAGGAGATTCCATCTGAACATGAGGAAGAACTTCCTGACTGTGAGAGCCGTTCAGCAGTGGAACTCTCTGCCCCGGAGTGTGGTGGAGGCTCCTTCTTTGGAAGCTTTTAAACAGAGGCTGGATGGCCATCTGTCAGGGTGATTTGAATGCAATATTCCTGCTTCTTGGCAGAATGGGGTTGGACTGGATGGCCCATGAGGTCTCTTCCAACTCTATGATTCTATGTAGAAGCCCATTGGATGAGTGGATAAGTCTCTCTCTCTCTCTCTCTCTCTCTCTCTCTCTTGACTGCATCTTCTCTGAGCAAATCTTACACAGAAAACCCCACAATAGGTTTGGTTTAGGATGGACATAAGTAAGAATGCTTGGATGGTACACAACGATATGCTACAATATGTATGGTTATGGAACAATGGATTCAAATTGCAGGAAAAGGAAGAACTTCTTGAGAGTAAGGGGAATTCAGCAGTGGAATATGCATCTGCCTGGGAGTTTGGTGGCATCTCCTTCTCTGGAGGTCTTCAAGCAGAGGCTTGGATTGTGGGGATGGCTTGGATTGTGTCTTCCTGCCTATAGGTTGGACTGGATGGTCCTTGGGGTTCTCCTCCAACTAGGATTCTATGATAGCAATCACATTCTTGGCTTGGCGAACCAAAGACTTGGGTTGGTTTGTTGAACTGCAGGTTGCGGAGTCTTCCCTTCAGTCTCCTCCAGATCCCTGGCGCCCCATTAACGCCTGCCTTGTTTACCATCTTGGTGTCTGTGCCAATTAACCCATCGGCCTCAGAGCCAACTTCCATGGCTAATTGATCTCCAGGAACCTGGCTAACGATCCTGGGGGCTCAGGGAATAGAGGGCCAGGTTTGGAGGGTTGTGTTCCTCCCCGGCTCCCATGCCCTTTCCTTTTGTTTATGCAAGTGAGTCCCCCTTTGGGAGAGGGCTGAGTTTAGCACTCATGGTTGTTTATCCGATTACTTATTAATTATATTTTAACATAAGCGGTGGCACCTGGGAGATGGATGAAAAGTTGAAGTTGCAGAGAGGTCTCAGGCGGAGATGCTGTCATGGGGAAGAAGGAGGAAACAGGCTTCTCGGGTTCTTTTTTCACCTGCAGCTGTGATAACGTCACAGCAACCCAAAGCAAGAGTCCCAAATCTTGGGGGATCTGTCTTGAGAAAAGATGTGCACATGTATGTGCCTATTCTCCATTTACTAGCCTGGTGTGATTATTTTTATTATTCAAATGGCAAACTGCAACTTGCAGTAGATGTTCAGTGCATCATGCTTCACAACATCCTGTGCCATAATAATAATAATAATAATAATAATAATAATAATAATAATAATAATATAATTTATAATATTTATTTATTTATCATGTCAGGGGCAACCAGACAATTGTATTACATTTCTAACAGAACAAAACAAACAAACAGACAAAATACATAATTTGCAAGCTTGGTGGTTGATTAAATGTCCTTTGACCAGTCTCTGGCCACTTGAAGTGCCTCTGGTGTTGCCGCAAGAAGGTCCTCCATTGTGCATGTGGCAGGGCTCAGGTTGCATTGCAGCAGGTGGTCTGTGGTTGCTCTTCTCCACACTCGCATGTCGTGGACTCCACTTTGTGGCCCCATTTCTTGAAGTTGGCTCTGCATCTCGTGGTGCCAGAGTGCAGTCTGTTCAGCGCCTTCCAAGTTGCTCAGTCTTCTGTGTGCCCAGGGGGGAGTCTCTCATTTGGTATCAGCCACGGACTGAGGTTCTGTATTTGAGTCTGCCACTTTTGGACTCTCGCTTGCTGAGGTGTTCCAGCGAGAGTCTCTGTAGATCTTAGAAAACTATTTCTTGATTTAAGTCGTTGACGTGCTGGCTGATACCCAAACAAGGGATGAGCTGGAGATGTCTCTGTCTTGGTCCTTTCACTATTGGCTGCTACTTCCCGGCGGATGTCAGGTGGTGCAATACCGGCTAGACAGTGTAATTTCTTTAGTGGTGCAGGGCGCAGACACCCCGTGATAATGCGGCATGTCTCATTAAGAGTCACATCCACTGTTTTAGCGTGATGAGATGTGTTCCACACTGGGCATGCGTACTCAACAGCAGAGTAGCATAGCGCAAGGGCAGATGTCTTCACTGTGTCTGGTTGTGATCCCCATGTTGTGCCAGCCAGCTTTCTTATGATATTATTTCTAGCACCCACTAATTTATAATAATATATAAATATAATAATGCCATCAAAGCCAGAATTGGAAAGTCGACGACAGATCCCAAATGTTGACTCTGCAAGGAAGCAGGCGAAACAATAGATCCCATCCTCAGCTGCTGTAAGAAGATCGCGCAGACAGACTACAAGTAGAGGCACAACACAGTTGCTCAGATGATTCATTGGAACTTGTGCCACAAAGACCATCTGCCTGCAACAAATAACTGGTGGGATCACAAGCTGGAAAAGGTTACAAAAAATGAACACGTCAAACTCCTCTGGGACTTCCGGATACAGACAGACAGAGTTCTGGAGCACAATTATCCTGACCTCACAATTGTGTTAAAAAACAAAGTATGGATTATCGATGTTGCAATCCCAGGTGACAGAAGGATTGAAGAGAAATAACAGGAAAAGCTGACAAACCAGTCAAGGGGGTCCCAGTGGTGATCGATACACTGGGTCCAGTGCCTAAAGACCTCGGCCTGCACTTAAACACAATCGGCGCTGGCAAAATTACCATTTGCCAGCTGCAAAAGGCCACCTTACTGGTATCTGCATGCATCATTCGCCAATACATCACACAGTCTTGAAACTTGGGAAGTGTCCGACGTGTGATCCAATTACAACAGCCAGCAGAGTGTCTGCTGTGGACTCATATTGTTGTATAAATATAATAATAATAATAATAATAATAATAATAATAATAATAATAATACAGCCAGCAAAGTGATCTTGTCTGCTGTGGACTCATCTTGTTGTGTTTCAAATAATAATAACTTTCAACAACAAGAACAACAACAACAACAATAATAATAATATAACTTTATGTTTATACCTCGCCAACCATCTTCCCAAGGGGACTCGGGGCGGCTTACAAGCCCAACAATTACAAATAAAACACAAACAATTAAAAACATCAGATAAAATATAAAAACAATCACAATCGTAAGCAACATCGAAACAATATAGTTGAAAAAAAGAACATATCTGCAATTCAGTCTCATTGAGTGCAATGCATCCTGAAGAGAGCGCAAGGAAAGTGCAATAGTTGAGAAGGTCTCAAATTGGATTTCAACAGAGAGAAATGTAGGGTACCACCCTAAGGCTGGATCTACACTGTCATATAATCCAGATTATCTGCTTTGAACCATCTGTCAGGGGTGATTTGAATGCAACATTCCTGCTTCTTGGCAGAATGGGGTTGGACTGGATGGCCCATGAGGTCTCTTCCAACTCTTTGATTCTATGATTCTATGTGTGAGTGTAGACCAGGCATGGGCAAACTTTGGCCCTCCAGGTGTTTTGGACTTCAACTCCCACAATTCCTAACCTTAGGGCTCTTTAATTTTTCCCTTCAGTGGTTTAAGCCAGGAATTGTGGGAGTTGAAGTCCAAAACACCTGGAGGGCCAAAGTTTGACCATGCCTAGTCTACACTGCCATATAATCCAGATTATCTGCTTTGAACTCAATAATATTGGAATGTAGACCAGGCATGGGCAAACTTTGGTTCTCCAGGTGTTTTGGACTTCAACTCCCACAATTCCTGACCTTAGGGCGCTTTCCTTTTCCCCTTCAGTGGCTTAAGCCAGGAATTGTGGGAGGGCCAATGCCTGGTGTAGACTCATGTAATCCAGTTCCAAGTAGATCATGTGGATTATCTGCTTTGATAATCTGGATTTTATGGCAGTGTAGAAAGAGCCTTACATAATCCAGTTCAAAGCAGGTAATGTGGATGGTGTATTGTCAAAGGTTTTCATGGCTGGAATCACTGGGTTGTTGTAGGTTTTTCGGGCTATGTGACCATGTTGTAGAAGCATTCTCTCCTGACGTTTCGCCTGCATGTGTGGCAAGCATCCTCAGAGGTTGTGAGGTCTGTTGGAACTAGGATGCTTGCCATAGATGCAGGTGAAATGTCAGGAGAGAATGCCTCTAGAACATGGCCATATAGCCTGAAAAAACCTACACCAACCTAGTGGATTATTTTGTCTGATAATCTGGATTATATGGCAGTGTAGGAGGGCCCATATACAGAGGGAAGACCTATTCCCACATGCAAAACTGTCCCTTGATGTTTCTACATTTGTGCACAATATGCCTGGATCAACTTTAGTGCGAATATGGGGAAAGTTCATTTTGGGGAGGAGAAGGGAATGTGTCTCTTTGTGTGTGAGAGTGTGTTCGCTGGAAAGGATAGAATAACTCCATGCAATATTTGGGGGGAAAGCCCACTGAGGACAGTGATTTCACTAGAACTTCCCAGAG